CTCTCTCTCTCAAAAAATAAATAAAACTTAAAAAAAAAAACATTGACCTGCACACTTTAAATGCATGGACTTTTAAAAAAAATAAAGAGTATCAACCAAGTTGGGGCGCCTGGCTGGCTCAGTCGGTAGAGCACGTGACTCTTTATCTCAGGGTCCTGACTGAGTTCAAGCCCCACATTCAGTGTAGAGCTTACTTTAAAAAAAAAATCAACCAAGTTACATGCCTGGGTAATTCCAGCAAAACTGTGTTCCTGAATCCTAGATTATGTTCTCTTTACAGAATACAGGAACTTTCAGTAATAAATGTTCGACTTTAAAAAATGTATCTACTGTATTTTCTTGTAGTGATCCTGAATAAAAGCATAATCTGTTCCACCTTAACTCAAACTTTCCACTCTCTGAAAAACTGAAAACCCTACTTTTATCATCAGCTTTTTCTTTGTTGCATGCCTTTGACTTGTGGGGAAAAAAAAAAAAAAACCTAGTAAGTTGTCCTGTAGTATGCATGGGTTTGTTTCATTTGTTCCTCTCGAGTTCTTATAGATCAGAAGTCAGAGAAAAGCCTTCTTAAACTCAGGTTTAGTTCCATTTTTGGCAAGACTATTTCACAGATGGTACTATTTCCTGTAGCATTCAATGAGAAGGCATATCATGTCTGGTTGTTGAACTTGTAGCTGATTCATCAATAGGTTCAGGTGGTGATGGCCTTAGCTTGTCATCATAGAGTTTCCTGTCCATCTTCCCTGTGGGATGCTAAAACCACTGATGATTATCACCTGGACCCAATTTTAATTAGGAGTTATGAAATGATCATTTTCTTTTTTTTAAATTTTTTTAATGTTTGTTTATTTTTGAGAGAGAGAGAGAGAGAGAGAGAGACAGAGTGTGGGTGGGGGAGGGGCAGAGAGAGAGGGAGACACCGAATCGGAAGCAGGCTCCCGGTTCTGAGCTGTCATCACAGAGCTCGACGCGGGGCTCGAACTCATGAACTGTGAGATCATGACCTGAGTTGAAGTCAGGCGCTCAACCGACTGAGCCCCCCAGGCACCCCCAAAATGATCATTTTCTAACCATGTCACTTCCTCTGCATATATTAATGGATGTTAACAGACCTTCTCGTACGCCGTAGCTGTTTGGTTAACTTGAAATACACTTCGTATCAGAAAAGCAGAATAAAGGGAAAATAATTTAAGCATCCACTTTCAGAGCAGTGAATCGGTACCCTAGCAAGCTACCGTGACGTCCAGTGAACTTTCTCTCTTTTCTCAATATCATTTTGAGCTCCTGACTGTTTCTATATTCAGTATGTTTTAATACAAATTGCAGTCATTATTCCTTCTGTGACAGTGTCCCATCTTTGGCAACTGGGAGCCCCTTCAGGCTGGCTCCGGTGTCCTTTTGGTACAACCGTATTGACCTTTGATAGTCTCCTTGCTTTTCGGTTCAACAAGATATTCCAGGTTAATCGTCTCCATTTCTTGCCCCTGACAGAGAACCATGCATTTTTCTGAGCAGACGTTCCCCACTTAACCTTCTTTTCTGTACGTAGCACCTATCTTGATCTATACACTGTGATGCCGAAAAACCCATACTTTGTCCTCTGTATCTAATCGTGTGGTTTACATTTAGACGTTGTGCCGTTTCTGTGTCCATTGTTTGCATTCAGTCACAAGCCCAGGGCGCTGTGATCTTTCTCCTTGTTCCTGTGTCTTGTCTTATGGCACATGCCTACGTTCAGCTCAGTATTTCATGGCTTAGTACTTCATTGGTCTCCTTTGCCCCATATTTGTTTAATGGGTGTATGTCCTTTTTTTTAAGAAACTTACAATTTTCTGGAGGTTAGGACATATCCAGTACTTAGGAGTTGAAAAGCCACTCTACCAGGGAACATAGTGATAAGTGAATAAATACGAATTGAATCAGAGGACACATTTTGCTTGGCTAACTCATGGCCACCTTGGCCCATAATTTGATACCAGTAGTTCCAGTGCTACATTTAAATCCAAGCCAAACTGCATCATAAATCTTGACGCTAGAACTTAAAGTGCAGGTGATTTCAAAGTATTCAAATGAACGCAAGGGCAAGGAGGCACAACTGCTCTGTTCACGGAATGAAAACTGGGAGTCTTTGGTTCTAGAAAAGCACTTTCAGGTGGTCATTCCTTTTGGTGCCTGGCCTCAATTCCTACTTGGCCTAGAGTCATTTATTGGTGGCCCACGACATGGCCGGTAAGTAGGAGCGTTGGAAGCCAGGCCGGCTGCCTGGCAAAGCCGACTTGTGGGGACTTGGATTGCTTTTGATCATATTTGTCATCAACCCTTTTGTGTGCTGCTAAAAGAGTGGGCTTTTTGTGGTTTTCATAGAAGAATGAAAACCAGAAAGGCCAGACTACCTACAGCACTTAAAAATGTGACCCTGGTCCTGTAAGAGCACCGAAGCTACCCATCGTGTGATGAGACCCTGTCAGTCTGCCTTATGATTACAGTTGGAAGAAGTAGCTGAAGTGATATGGCCCCTCTGTCTACTTCCTTTTTCCTCTTCTCTTACCCCCAAGGAAGAGGCTGGGGAGTCTTCAGAATATAAAGAAGAAAAAGATTCATTTTAGGGGTGCCCGGGTGGCTCAGTCGGTTAAGCATCTGACTCTTGGTTTCGGCTCAGGTCATGATCTCACGGTTTGTGAGATTGAGCCCCACCTCGGGCTCCCGCTGAGCACTGAGCGTGGAGCCTGCTTGGGATTCTCTCTCTCCCTCTTTGTCTGCCCCTC